ATCTTCCATGGGATTCTTAGAACTGTGTATTCTTATTATGAGAGTGTGTTCCTGTTTTCTCTTAGACTGCAAACTCTTAAGAGTGTTTTTCTTATGACATTTATCATAACCATTTATTCATAGCTTGTGTTCTATAAATGTTTGTTTAAAATTCAGCATGCATTTATTAAGTACCTATTATGTGCAGTGCATGAAGTTAAACACAGAAAACAAAGGAAATAGGCATATTCTAGCTGTAGAGTGGGAAAACATTGCTTACTTGAAAGGAGATGAAGGCATATTTACTAAGATTTGAATTTATAAAAAAATAAAAGATGTTGACACGGCAAAATGTAATAAAATTAATGTGGAAACGAAAGTGAAAAAATATTTTACCAACGAATGCAGTAAAATCTTACTATGCAAAACAGGTGAAGATTTGATGGAAATATGTATGGTCTGTAACAGGATTCTGCTTGATGGGTAGAGGAGAAAAACAGTTCACAGATGAACAAATAGTAACAGAAAACTTTATAAAGTATGTATAGTTTTTCTAGCAATTAAGGAAATGTAGCTCAGACATCTCCAAAGTGCATTTTATTCAGTAAAAGATTTACTCAAGAAACATACAATGTGGTGCAAAAATAAAAACCAAAAAACCACATTAGTACATGTAATGCAAAAGTATTAAAAACAACAAAAGTGTGTTCTAATCCCTTTTTTCTAAGCCTTTTTATCAGTACTTCCATGCCAGCTTTTTAAAAAACAGACTTTATTTTTAAGAGCAATTTTAGATTCATAGCAAAATTGAGTGGAAGGTAGAGATTTCCCATCTACCTCTTGCTTCCATATGGAAACAGGCTCTCCCCACTATCAAAATCCTGCACCAGAGTGCTACGTTTGTTACAGTAGTTGAACCTACATTGCCCCATTATTATGACCCAAAGTCCATAGTTTACATTAGTGTTCACTCTTAGTGTTGTACATTCGATGGGTTTTGACAAATGTATAATGACATGTGTTTATCATTATAGTACCACATAGAGTAGTTTCATTGCCCTAAAAATGCTCTCTGCTCTGCCTGTTCCTCCCTGTCTTCCCCCCAGCCCCTGAAAACCATGGATCTTTTTAGTGTCTCCATAGTTTTGCCTTTTCCAGAATGTCATGTATGTAACTAGGGTCATACGCTATGTAGCCTTTTCAGATTAGCTTTTTTTTTTTTTCACTTAAAAACATACATTTAAGGTTCTTCCATGTCTTTTTATGGCTTGATAAAAGACATAAAAGTAGCCAGCACTATTTCTTATTAGTGCTGAATAATATTTCATTGTCTGTTTGCATCACAGGTTATGCAGTAACCTACTAAAGGACATCCTGGTTGCTTCCAATTTTGGCAATTACAAGTGAATAAACAAACGCTAAGCAGTTTTTTGTTTCCTGCCAGTCACTTAACGTCTCTAGGGCTCAATTTTCTTCTCTGTAAAATTTAACTGATGATTTCTAAGGATTCTGAGGTTTGAAATTATGTGGTTATCTAGATAGAAATCATAAAATCTTATGTTCTGTTGATTATGAATAACTCAGGTATGTATGTACGCGGATGACATCATAAGCTGGTAAAGCCTTTCTGGTGAAAGCAGTCTGGTCCTATATAACAAAAATTATGCTCTATTCTTACTCTTTGATTAGATCATTCTATTTTAGGGGGTCTCCCTCAAACCCAAATGGAGGTTAAAAAATAACATCTTTTTTTTAAACAAAGGTTTTCATAGCAGGGTAATTTATAAAACCCACATAAAACAAAACTATGGAAACATTTCAAATGCCCAGTCGTGGGGAAACGCAAAGTAAATTGCATGAGGGCAGGGATCATGACTTCATTCTGATCAGTGTACCTAGCACCTTACTCAGTGTGATGTTCTAAATATTTGTTGAATGTAAAAGTCCTGAATAAAATAATTTAAGGGAAAGA